GGCACAAAAGGACAGTGAGCTCTTGATTCGTTTCTATGATTTCGTACTTGCCTTAGTTTAGAGAGGCTTCTTGTTGCAACAGGCAGGACTGCCAGCTTGGGCTGCTGAAGCTTACAAGGGTGGTCTAAGGTTTAGGGTTTGGGGCCTGGGGGATTGCTGGCAGTTTGACCGAAAGCTGAAAACGTAAGGTCCGAAAGAGGCCAGGACAGGTTGTCACAGAGCCTCGGGCCTCTGCATAGATGCCAAACCTCTTTAGGGGTCCCGACGGCAACAGGGTTGCCTTTGAGCTTTTGCTTTAGGGCCTAAGGGCCTAAGGACGATTGCATAGAGGCAAGGAGGGCCAATGGCTGAGAATCCCATGTTTACAGAGACGTGGTGGGACTTCAGCTTCAGCAGGCCCCGCTCTTCTCTTGTCCTTTTCTTTCTCCCTCTCTGCTTTGCCAGGAAGTCAAAAGGCAGAAGGAGGAAGCGGCCGGGAGAGCCAAGAAGTCGTCCAAGGCCCCGACTTCTGTCCCGGTTAGAGAGCCAACTTTCTGGGAAGACTGTGGGATTTAATTGACAGTGCAAAGGCTCGAAGTAAGAACACCCAGCAGGAAGTGGGAAGTGCATGAGGTCATGAGGTTGTGTCTTGACGCTCTAGGAAGTGGGAAGTGCATGAGGTCATGAGATTGTGTCTTGACGCTCTGTGGCTTCATTGGGTTTTGCTTCAGACCTCGTCCTGGCAGCGTTCCAACATGTACCAATATTTTTTCTAGAGTGGGGTTTTCTCACCCGCAGGCAGATGACGTCCTGGAAAGCCTATATGGAGGGCTACCACCGCCCGATCCGGAAAAGGCCATTGAGAAGCAGACCAGGGATTCTCGTAACGTGCATTGATTTGAATCTCCAAGTACAGAAGTAGTGATACTTATAATCGTAATAACAAGAGTACAACACGACTTGTAGTAGCTGAATGGCAACACATGCACAGCTGAGCACAGTAATCAAATTGAAAGGGTCAATTTGGAAGCCCCCCCCAGAAGAATCGCTGGGTTTCTTCAGCAGGTTGCAACAGGCGTCAGCGTGCGGCTTTACTTGCTTCAGGGTTTGCCACTCTAATGGCTGCTTATTGGCCAACCTGTTGGGTGGTAGGTATGAAATTTGTTGCCAAAGCTGTGACGCCAGTTTCACGCACGTGAGACCCAGAATCATATCGTGCTGGTGACGCAACAGGGGAGAAGGGCAATGTCATCACCCAGGTTAAATTCAGAAACCCTGCAATTCGGAACTGGCTTGTATAAACCCATCGCTTTGCTGTTCAGGATCAAGCCATGGCGCAGCGAGTAAAGGAGTGGGGACCTCAGAACCCGGAAGCAACTCCAATTCCAGGATTTTGAGCATGTCCATGCAGAGGAGCATGTGGGATGTGTGAGAGCCTGCTGCTGTAACGTGTTGCATGAATCTCAAGAGCTAAATTGCAAGATCCTGAAGCACCCCATGCCAAGACGAGACAGCCGCATCGCTATCACGAGTTGTCCCCAAACTTTTGCACTGGCTGAACACATCATGTGGGGAAGATTGGGCGCCTTCATGTTGAGAGCATTGAGTCTGACTCTCGTTGCGCAAAGATAGCCATCAAAGCCATTGACATCCGACTGCCACCCAGCAAATGCCGAACCTGCAACGGTGAATTGGAAGACAGTCATCAATCCTGCGAAGAGGTTTAGGCTTGCTTCTTGGTTTCTGAAGGTGAGGTTGTGGGAATGGTGACAGGTTGGAAATTGCGCTCTGTACTGTATGGGGCGGCTGTCATCGGCTGCTACAGCAGATATTCTACGGAAAACCTTCGCATCCATGGCTCTGAAATGAGCTGCTAGCAGCCTGGGCGCCACGGTCTCTGAGGCAAGCGACCTGGAAGCAGCACCGGTTCCCGCCTTTGCCGGACGAAGCCTCAGGGGCTCTTGAGAGTCTTCTGGATGTAGGGATCGGGCACAGCAGGGGGAAGTGCCTCTGTCATATGTTGCAAGGTTCAGCTCTTTCCCCACGTCCGCGGAGAAGCTTTGAGGTTTCAGGTCCGAAGCTCCAAGGCCACGTCCGGCTAAGTCGGACTTGCCGCCACCACGGCGACCCGGAGCCAAAGCCCCTGGCTGTTTTTTGAGGTTCTACTGTAGCAACCTTGGCTGCCCCAGGTGGAAGATCCAGCGAAGGTCATCTTTTTGGATGTTGACGGAGTGTGGCAGCCTCGGGTGGTGTGTCTCCATCGAAGCCCACCGGGCTCAAGGGCATGCTTCTTGTAGGTAGCGAAGAAGACGGGGGCACACGTGCCAAAGCCTGAAGCCCAAATCCCAGAGAGTTATCTCCGTCTGAGGTTGCGGCCTCTGACTGCCGGTGGCTTTAGATCCATGATGGCCCTGAGCCGAGATGCAGGCTTTTCGGTTGGCGGCCTTTTGGGCTTCCTAGCACGGCTTCGGTGGTCCGCAATGCTCGTCAGAGGTGTGGAAATGGATCCTGCCCATCGCAAGTTTCCCTCAGTGCTTTGATGTGCCCAAGTGCCCGATCCGGAATGCAGAATCCCACGGGTTTTCCCCAGAGGACGTCTTCTTATTCCACGAGCCAAGCCTCGAATCCCAAAAGCCTAACCCCCTAAACCCATCAGGCTAGTCAGACACTGTATCACGCGGACTCGAACCTGTGGATCCACGCCTGGCTTGTCCGAGTTGTGAAAGTGTAGACCCATCTAGACCCCAAACCCTCTTCAGATTCGAAACGCCCTCACAGACTTCCCTGCTGTCATTTTCTTGACTAATTATATACAATTCCTTGGGTACCCGAAATCCCTACGCCCACCCGACACCCCAAACCCCCAATTAATGAGGTTGTCGAGAAGAGTTTCAGGCCTTAGATCTCCACTTGTCAAGAAGTCTCGGTTCTATCTACTCCTGCCCTGCCAGGCCAAGACCTGAATCCCTTCCAACATGCTCAGCTGCGAACCGTGAACCCTTACCGAGCCCGAGCGTAAGAGACGGCCTCATCCCTAACAACTCGCGAAGAAAAATACTATTCCTAAACCTTTATTCCTAAACCCTGAATTAGTGGGAAAAATCGTCCCTACACTACCCTGTAGATCCTAACCTGCCCAGGTGGACGGAGAGTGGGCGCTCCGGGCCGAGACCGCCGACTTCATTTCCGGGGCCTTGCGCGGGCCGTGGAAGCTTTCGTGCGCTCGCTTTAGGGACTTTAGGGCTTTAGGTGCAACATGTGTAATATTGTATCATGTTGAATTACAGTATATTGTATTATGTAAAGTTGTAATATGTTATATGATGGTCAATTCGCAAGAGTTCGGTAGTAATGAGAAGGTGGACGGAAGCAATGCGGCCCTTCGTTTTAGAGAGCGAGAGGAAACCCAGCCCGAAAAGATTGACCAAGCAAAGCACGGCAAGAAGGCGTGCAAGCGGAAAACCGGTCATCGCAAGACAGAAGAACGACGCGCATACGGAGCATGAGCAAGGTAACACCTAGCAGCGACGTACAGCATGACACCAGAACTGCTGCTATTATGCGCCTTGGCGGTGATGCCAAAATCGGTTGAAGGAGAGCTGTTTGCGTCTATGGAACTTCTGTGCTTTGTGGTTAACCAGCGACAACAATGAGGCCATCCATGCTGGTGATGCAAGTAGCACAGGGCAGAAGGCATGAAGGACATCAGGGCAAGAGCCGCGACAACGACAGCGACAACAAAAACATGGAATAACGAAGACAAGATAAGTTAATTCACAGAGCAGTCGTAGCTGCAAAGCAGTGATTGCTCTCATGACAGCACCGGAAACTCCCGAACCTGTTTAGGCAGGCATGTGGTGAAAAGAACCCAAATCAGAACCCCAGCGATGTGTGCGCTCCAAGGCTTTCTTTGCGGCACATCGTCGAGAGCACGGGGGCCATCATCGCACTTTGATCGCAGTAGAACGGACTCAGTGGAGGCATCGGCCTTGAGGATGAGAGACCCACATCGTGCCGAAAGGCATCAAGCTTGTTCAGCTTCGTTGACCGGGCCCGAAGCCATCCTAAGTCCTTCATCTCGGGCCGTCAGGGGCGGGGTTCCCCGGCCTGAAACGGGGGCCAACGAACAGGGCACTTTAGCGGCTTTGTCCTCGGACCAGACCGACCCATAAGGGGTGGATTCTTCGACACTCTGCATAATGGGTTCTTAATGTTGCTGAGCAGCAACACCAAGTACCGCAACATGGCAACAGCAGAGTCGAGAAGACATGGCGGTGAGACGTGGAGATAGTCGTGCTACTATTATCGACAGTAGCACTGAGATGAACTAGTAGCAACTGCTGCGACCCCGAGACAAACCTTGAAACTCACAAATCTGCTAAGAAACTTGGGTAATGATGGTCGCAAACCTACTCAAAGCCAGCCTCAGGTCCTGTCGTCCGAGTGGCGCCGGGATGCACCCATGCGTGGCTAGGCCGCAAGAAACTCCGGGAGCACGTCCCTGTAAGGGACAGGAGCTTCATACGACTCCGAGTCCACAGCCCCTTTTCCAAGCCACCGAACCGCTTTAACTCAAACCGAGCTCCGAGCCCAGGTGAAGGGGTCGACAACATCTTAACCGAGTACGAGATGCGTCCCTGCAGAGACCTCGGAGCCTTCTTTCGGAAGGGCGGTGTGGCAGGTTGTGTGTTTTTTTTCTTTCTGAAGTGGCCATGGGTTTTAACATATTGGAGGCATGGCGAGGCAGGTTTCTGTGGCTTTGTGTCATCTAGGCCTAGGAGTGTAGGCCTTTGGACTCCGAACATGGGCGCCGGAGCTTCTTCCGTGGCATACGGGGAAGGTCGGTTTGGATCTTTGTTTTGCTTTGCCTTACATCTCGTTGCGCCACCGTCATCTCAAACCCACGGTTTTGAAGAAATTGTGCCTTGAGTTTCTCAGCCGTTGAGGTGCGACATGGACCCCCACCGATCTTCAACGGGACATGGGCACCGAGAACCCATTCAAGGCTGACTTGGTGCATTCCGGCTCGGGTATTGGGTCTCCGGGTACAGCATCGAGAAGTTAGGACGTAGCTTTTCATTGAAAATTGATGTTGCCTTGCAGGTTCAGGGTGTGGGATTTGGGGGCGTGAAGTGGGGAAATCGTGCAGCTATGACTCCCGGACTGCGCAGGATGCCGACAGCCGTGACAATGCGTGCTATCTTCCCTCAAGCTGCGGGTGGAAAAATGCTTCCAGATAGTCTCGATCTATACACTTCAATGCCTCAGCTTAGCCACAGTGTCTCGAAGAGCATGGCTGCCCTATATAGGGACTAGATGAGCTTAAAAAAGTTGCTTTCTCAAAAAGGCTGCTCGTCGAGGGCCAGGAACAAGCACCGCAAGTTTGTCCGGAAAGCCATGGCACCTGCCCTCCTCGGTCTTGGTCTGCTGCTGTTGGCCGCCGGAGGGAAGGACGGACACAGGGCGTCAGGGTTTCAGCACATGCATTTGTCGGAGCATTCCTGCATCCCTTCTGGAGGGTTTAGGGTTTGTGTTTTGGTCGCAGGCTCTCGCAGCCCGTCCGGGTTCGCGTTTTCCGACCATACCGACAAGGATAGAGAGTTCTTGGCGGCAGGAATTTTAGTAAGGCGCTATCACACCGAGCCTCTGTCCCACATCAGGGCGGCGCCCACTGGCAAGGGGTGGAGCCCCTGAGCCCAACAACAAGAAACAAGAACGGAGAGAGAGACCGAGCCGTCTTCCCACACCCAAAACCTCGAGGAAGAGTGTAGGGAACACCTTGCGGCAAAACCTCGAGCCATCAGTCCTAATCCCATCTTGCAGTGTAGAATTCGCACCTGCCATGGACTAAGTACACGCAACTTCCAGTGGATTGCTTGGCCCCAAGCCCAAGAGGCAGCCATCGACCCAAGTTGTGACTATAGTACACTTAGTATTCCAAAATCCTTCACCCAGCAGCTGGCATGAGGAGCCTCAGGACTTCAAGCAAGGCTCCAGGACTTTCTGCGCGGGCCCCGGGAGTCGTGGCTCTTGGCAGAAGCGGCCGTGACTTTCTTGTTGATGTTCTGCGAGCTTCTTCCAGCAGTCGTTGAAGGCATCGAGCAGATTGTCCTTTTTTTCAGGTGATGACAGCCCTTCCCGAACCGGCTTCCTGCCGGCAGGGCGAGGCGCCACATTGCCGGCACCGGTGTGTTGCAGGGTTGGGATGACTCGGACTGGGGGCCGGTGTTCAGGAGGTTCCCGTGGGGTCTTTCCGAGGTGAAGCTTGGCCTGAAGGGTCCGAGCATCCCGGAATTCGGCTCTGTTTTGGTGGAGGATTGGTGAAGGGATCCTTTCTCCCAAGGGGGCTTCCTCGAAGGTTTTCCGAGTCGTGTTTTGTACGGCTCAGATGTGAGGAGTAGCCAAGACTCTGGCCAAGACTCCCATGACCTAAGCCGTGTTATGTAACTTCGAAGCCTGAGCCCTGGCTGAGCCGGCATCCGGCAGAGTCGGAACTCGTTGCTACCTCTCTGTCTCATGGATCCTGTGCCCTCTCTGGGGATAGGAGCTCGCTCTAAGGTCCAGGGACTTTTCTCCGAATGTCCTTGCTGCCACGAAAGACATCTTGACCGACTTATCCACGGCCCAGTCCGAGCATGCGAGGCACCAGCCACAACACCCAAAGCCCATTCCAGGTGCGCAGTACTTCTATTGGCTGGCGGACACGCGCCGCAACGATTCTGCACCCTTGATTCTGTGGTGCCTGGGCTTCAAGCTGACTCCAGGGTCACATGCTGTGTGCGGTCTTTGGTGGGTTCGTGTGGGCTGTAGGACTTCAGGAGGGGTGTCGGGACTTGGAAATGCTCGGAGATTCCCGTCTACAGTGATGGGGAGGTCATCGTAGCAGCGTTTCCTGGTCTAGCTGAGTTCAGGAGAGGGCAACCAAAACCGCTTCGTATTTGTGGGTAGATTGCCTGCGCTGACATGTGGCGGTCTAGGTGCCCAGACCCCACTTCGAGCCTTGTTTTGTTTCGACGGCTTGCAGTTTACGAGTAGTGTTCGTGTTCATGTTTGAAGCCTGCCGCATAGTAGACTCAAACTAATGTCATCACCCTAAACCCTAAACCCCCTCGCTTGTGGGCATTGATCCTTAGCCATGCGAGAGGGAAAAAAAACCTAAACCCTAAACCCTAAACCCTGAACCCTAAACCCTGAACCCGAGACTCAAGCTCATGTCATATCAGCAGAGGAGATGCTGTGGAAGCCCCAGGCTTTCGGAGGAAGCTTGAACATTCAAAGTTTAAACCTTGAGCCCTAGACCTCAACTGATCTGGGGGGTGTGCAAGAGGCCAGAATGCTACCTTTGAAGCAACTCTTACTTCTGGCAATCCTTAGAGACTTGTAGAGCCTGCTTGTCATTGAGCTTATCATCCTAAGATCGCCCGCAGCTTCGCGAGGATGACTGGCGGGCCTGGCTGCTCCTCGATCCTGGCGATGCTGACCGAGAATGGCCCCTGCTTGATTGAGAAGGCTGGTTGAGGGATTTTGGGTCTAGGGACAAAAGTCTTTGGTTTTGTGGCACCCTGTTCGCACAGGGACCCCGGTACAGGGGAACAACCCCGATTTTCCAGAGCAAGCCCGAGGTGATCGTCGCGAGGGCTCCTGGTTCAGAATCACCAGTACCCTAAACCCGAAACCCTGATCGACATTTTCTGGATTTTTTTTTTGGGGGCTTCGGAGTGTTTGGTGTCTCCGAGTTCCGGCCTCTTGGCCCTCCGATGGCTCGGATGGTTTAGTTCAGATGCCAAGAAGCTTCAATGCCCAGTCTCGTGGAGGAGGGAGAGAGTTCTGGAAAGATGCCAGGGCCAGGTTTCATCAGAGCTTCCAGAGGCCTTCAGGATCTCGCGGTACATGCGGCGCCCAAAAATTGAAGCAGCTGTGTGCCAAGCAGAGCTCGGAATCAGCCGATTCCTCGGCGCTCCTTGCTGCTTCCTTTTGTGACCTCACGCCCGCCTGCAAGGGCAACGCATCGGAGAAATGGAGGATGAGGCGGAACCCATGGAGCTGGACTGCAGGGCAGAGGTGGTAGACGGATATGGGAAATGTAGTAGACAAAGCCAAAACACATAGAGCCTTCAGGCTTCAGGCCTATACGCAGGAGACCGAAATCCCATGGAACTCCACCGCTTTACGCCCTGCAACATCGTTTTGGTGGATGTCTGGCTCTTGGCTCCATCTGTTGTTTTGTGGCGCATAGGCCCAACCAGGCGGGAGGAAAAACCCTGAAAACCTTAACACTAAGCAGACTTAAAATCCTCCAGAAAATAGAACCTCTCGCGCTCTCGGCAAAACTCCTCGTGCTCTAGGCCCTAAAGCCAGAAGGCGAGAGCCCTAAACCCTCTACGAGACTTGTGGCTGGAAGCCGTGCCTGCGCTGTGCGAGCGTGCGAGTCGAGAAACCCCGAGTCATATACCGCAGACCTCGTGCGTCAATTTCTGGCAGGACCGAAGCTGGGACCGTCCTCTGGGTGGATCAGCCTGGAGAGGTGCGGGGTCAGGGGCTCACCATGTAACCCTGTATTTTGGCCGTGCAGTCGACTCCCTGTGCCTCGGGAGAAGGGTGAAAGCTTGCAGCAATCCAGGGCCGGGGGGGAGGCTGTGGTGTGTGACATGATCTGTAGCTACCCAACGAAACGCCGAAGACGTGGGCGACGCGCTGGCAGGTTGGGTTCTCCGTCGGAGCGGAGAGCGATGACGAGCTGGAGGTGTCCGAACGGATGCTGGTTTTCATGCTGGCCTTCTACGAACGATATCCGTCCTTGCTGAAAGCGCCGCTGTTTCTTAGCCGCACAATTTGGAGCAAGGATGTGGTCACATGGCTGCCGTGCCAAGGGACCTCGAGGGAAGGGTGAATACCGCAACTGCACTGCCTGTGGCAATTGCATGCTGATTTTGGCACTGACCGAAGCGCAGTGCAGGTTCTTGGCAGGTGAGTCCTATGCAGGCCGGGGGAGACTGGAAATCACCAGGGTAGCCTGGCACCAATGTTGCGCGGGTCCTTGCGGGTTCGAGCACCAGTACTCCGGGATGGATGCCTGTTTAGCAAGTTGTGGGACAAGATAACTTTCTGCTTCTAGCAACTGTCCTTGGAAACAGGCCACTATGTCCCCGCAGTGGCGACAGAGCTGCTTGCCGCTTGGGACCGAGGTGCGCGCCTGGCGAAGGCAGGTCCCTAACGAAGCAGCAGGACTCAGTATAATATATAACATTATATATATATATATATATATAAATAGATGTATGTATGTATATATATATATAATATAATATAATATAATATGATATAATATAATATAATATAATATAATAGAATAGAATAGAATAGAATATAATATAATGTAATGTAATATAATATGATATAATGTAATATAATATAATATGATATAATATAATATAATATAATATTATATAATATGAT